GAGAATGGTGTGAACCTGGGAGGCGGAGCTTGCAGTGAGCTGAGATCATTCCACTGCACTCCAGCCTGGGCGACAGAGCAAGACTCCGTCTCAAAAAAAGAAAAAAATGAGCTGGGCTTGGTGGTGTACGGCTGTAACCCCAGCTACTCAGGAGGCTGAGGTGGGAGGATCACTTGAGCCCAGGAGTGGAGGCTGCAGCAAGAGGAGATCGCACCACTGCACTCCAGCCTGGGTGACAGAGTGAGAACCTGTCTTAAAAGAAAGAAAAAACTGATGACATGTTATTAAGCACGGTTTAAAAGGGAGCAGGAGTACGACATAACTGGTTATCCCACAAGAAGTTATCAATGCCATCTGTCAGGAGACAGTCCCACCACCCCTGACTGTTACATTAGCAGCGGAATACAGACTCTGTGTAACCACTGGAAACCAGGGAAGGGAGGATGAGTTATGTTTAGCTTAGTGATACCATTCTCCTTCTACTGAATCATTGACTTAGGAACACACAGTAAAAGCTGCAAAAATTCTAGCCGATTTCTCTAACAAAATGATGAAAAGCGGATGGCGGGGTCATTGTCACAATATAACAGAATATTGTTGTTGACTATGCATGCATATATAAAGTTGATTCATGATATCTGTCTCGAGTTCAGATTTACAATGTGTGAAGAAGGAAATTAAGAAACAGTTTAGATGCAACGTCCAGTGACTGGACTGATAGGATTTAGTATTTGGAAGGAGAAGATTGCTTGCTTTTTTAATAAGTTTTTAAGGGGATAAATTCTACTCTAGGGCCCAACAGAAGACCATCAATTTCAAGATAAATACGTGGCACAGATCAGCCTCCTTCGCGGAGAGGTCTCAGGTCAGCTGGCCGTCAGGTGCTCTGTTGAGCTTGAGTGTTACTGCTAATTACATACTGTAAAGGAGCTTGGCTGGGCCCTGCCACAAAGCCGTTGGTGTCTATAAAGTTTGGTACACTTGATACTGGTTTTTATATCTGGCAGTTAACAAGAATCTGGGCTTTTACCAACTTACTTGCTGTTCAAAATTCAAAAGGGCCCTTAAATAGAGCCCCTCTTTCCCCCTGAGTTCTGAACTGATTTGAAATATAGGACAAAAGAGGAAAGGAAAATGGAGCTGAAAATATCACTGTTGGTGCTGACAAAGCTTATATTGGAGAATGTGGACCTTTTTTTTTTTTTTTTGAGACAGGGTCTCGCTGTTATCCAGGCTAGAGTGCATTGGCACGATCAGGGGTCACTGCTGCCTTGACCTCCTGGGCTCAAGTGATCCTCCCACCTCAGCTTCCTGAGTAGCTGGGACTATAGGCCTGCACCATCATGTCCAGCTAATTTTTATTTTTTATTTTTGTAGAGATGAGGTCTCACTATGTTGCCCAGGCTGGTCTCAAACTCCTGGGCTCAAGCAGTCCTCCCACTTTGACCTCCCA